GTGTGTGTGTGTGTGTTGTGTGTTGTGTGTGTTGTGTGTGTGTGTGTGTGTGTGAGTGTGAGGGTGTGTGAGTGTGGGTTTTGTGAGTGTGGGGGAGTTTGCATGTGGGGATTGTGGGTATGTATGTTGGGATTGTGTTGTGTTTGTGCGTGGGGGTGAGGAGAGTGGGGTGTTTATGTGTGGGCGGGAGTGGGAGTGTGTGTGTGTACATATGCAGGTTAGAGTGAAGGAGGGATTTTGGTGATCAGTTTACAGGTAGTGTTAAAGGGCTCATGTGTTTTTTATGTGTGTGTGTCCGGTGGTCATGTATACACACTCGCTTACATGTGTATACGTGTATTTGAGTGCGTGTGTGTTTTGTGTGTATGTGTGTTCATTTGTGTATGTGTGTACGTGGGTGTGTGTATGTGCGTGTGTGGTTATTATTCCGCTTGGTCTCTCTCCTCAGTCACATTGGCTGATGTCACCGCCAATATGACTCCACCACTATCAGTGTGATAGTGGTGTGATTGAGTCATGTTATAGTGGGGCTATTGTATGTTGTAGTGTGGTATGGTTGTTGTGTGATGGTGTGCTATGATTGATGGTGTGTGGTGGTTGTGTGATGGTCATGATGTGTGGTGGTGGCAGTTTGATGATGGAAGAGTTTTACTATGGTGATGGTGATGTTGTTGAAGTGGTGTGATGTGGTTGTTTGGTGGCGTTGGTGAGCTGAGGTGGCATTGAGGAATGGTGTAGGTTATGGGATGTATCAGTTGTGGTTATATGTATTAGTGGTATGAGTTGGTGGTGACGGTGTGGTGTGTTTTAGTGGCTGTAGTGCACTCTGTTAGTACTGTGTAATGTGTTGGTATGTGTTGGTGCTGGTATTTGTGTTGGTGTGATCATGTTATTGGTCTAGTCGTGTTGGTGTGTTGTGCTGACTTTGTGTGGTGATGGCAAGTGTTGGTGGTGTGTGTACTCACTTAATTGAACTCAAATAATTATTATGGTTACAGGGATCGAGACACAGCTCCTGGTCCAGCCTTTTCGCTGGTCATTACTAGTTCCACTCTCTCCTTGCTCCATGAGCTTAATCATACCTCTTCTTGATGCTATGTATCGATCATGCCTTCTCTATTCACTTTCCAGACTAGTCCACTTCCTGACAACTCTTTGAAGAAATACCTCCTAACATCCCTCTGACTCATCACAGAAATAGGGGGAGAAGACATGGATGAGATTGTAAATTTTCAGAGAATAGGGGGGTACTTGAAGGGAAGAAACCGACCGATCAAGCTGATTCTCAGGACAGAAACAGTGCGGAACAGGATCCTCCAAGAGAAACCACGGTTGAAAAGTTCGGAAGAGTACAAGAAGGTGTTCCTAGACAGAGACAGAACACAAACAGAGAGAAAGCACCAGAGCTGAGGAGAGGACAAAAAAGCGAAAGGGAGCTTGGAAAAGGAGACAATGAGGAATCAGCAGAGTCAGTCAGAGCAGAACAGAGCTGCAAGGTCAGCACACACACATCTATCCTCAGAACACCACAACCTATCATACCATCCCAACACAAATACAATCCATACCCACAGCTTCCACCCAACCCCCTAACTATAGAATCCCCCAGTAGCACCAGGTCTCCCACCCCCACAGGCCTCCCAAACCACAGTGTTAGAAAGGAAACTGAAGTATGGTACACGAACGCTGATGGAATAAACAACACGTGGGAGGAGTGAGCACGAAAGAAGTCAAATAGGCATCCACCAGACATCATAGCGATCACAGAACCCAAGCTACAGGAAGATAACAGATGCATCTTTCCAGCGGATACCAAGATCCTGAGAAAAGACAGAAGGAACAGGGGGTGGAGGATGGCATTGCTGATCAAACACCGTGGAATTTTGATGAGCTGGAGAGAGAGGAGACAGCGAGAAAAAGTGATTACATAGCGGAAACGCTCACATCTGGTGTCCCAAGGGATAATGCAGTGATGTATACCCACCAAGAACACAGGAGGCCAAGGCAAGAGTATAACGAGAGCAATAGAGCGATGGTTGACACACTGGCTGCAGGGCGAGAAGAGCTCATGCATGCAGGACAAAGCTCCTGATCAAGGGTGACTTTAACCACAAGGAGAATCGAATGGGAGCCACATGGGGCCAAGATACATGGAGGGCTAAGAATGATGGAGGTGGTACTCTGTGAAAATTTCATGTACCACAACGTAAGGGACACTACAAGAGAGAGAGGAGAGGATAACCAGCAAGACTGGACTTGTATTCCCCGTGAGTAGTGCAGATATTGAGGACATCACATATGAAAGACCCCTTGGGCCAGCGATCATGTGGTTTTGAGCTTCGAAAACCCAGTAAAGCTACAAGTGGAGGGGGAAACAGAAGGCAAGGACAAATGAAAAACCAAACTACAGGAAAGGGGACTACACAGGAATGAGGCACTTCCAGAATGAGGTTCAGTGGGACCAAGAGAACTGGCAGGGAAGACCAGTTATGAGAGATGGAATTATGTAGCAACAATGTGCAAGGAGGCTGAGGAGAGGTTTGTAAAATCTCCAAGGGTAAACAGGAATAATGAAAAAAGCCAGGATGAGCCCAAGGTTCCACACCAAAGAGGCAAGGAGCCAAAAAAACCAAGTGTTGCTAGTGAAATGGAAGAAATATAGCGAAGGCAAAGGACCCAGGAGAATAAGGAGAGCAGTCGTAGAGCCAGAAACGAATATGCACAGATAAGAAGGGAGGCCCACCTCAATATGAAAACGACATAGCACAAAAGCCAAATCGACCCAAGCTGTTATTCAGCCACATCCAGGAAGAAAACAACCGTTAAGGACCAGTAATCAGGCTTAAGAGAAGGAAGGAGGAGAGACAACAAGAATGACCGTGACGTATGTAGGAACTCACTAGAGATTCAAAGAAGTGGTTCACAGAGACGACAGAAGGGGCTCCCAGAAAGACGGAGAGGGGGTACACCACCATGTGCTGTACACAGTACACACAACCGAGGAAGAAGTAAGAGGCTTCTGATGATCTAGATACCTAAAGCAATGGGCCAGATAACATCTCTCCATGGTCCTGAGAGAGGTGAAGCAAGGTGACTATGTGTACCCCTAACATACTATATTCAATACATCTATCGGAAACAGGGAGATTGCCTGAGACATGGAAGACAAGCAAATGTGGTCCCAATCATTTAAAAAAGGAGACAGACATGAAGCACTAAAGCTACAGACCAGTGTCACTGACATGTAAGCATCAAAATCATGGAAAAGTTGTCAGGAGAAGAATGGTGGAACATCTAGAAAGGAATGATCTCATCACCAGCAGCCAACATGGTTTCAGAGATGGGAAACCCTGTGTCACAAACCTACGGAGTTCTATGACATGGTGACAGCAGTAAGACAAGAGAGAGAGGGGTGGGTGGATTGCATTTTCTTGGACTGCAAGAAGGCTTTTGACACAAGTACCACACAAGAGATTAGTGCAAAAATGGAGGACCAAGCAGGGATAACAGGGAAGGCACTACAATGGATCAGGGAATACTTGTCAGGAAGACAGCAGCGAGTAATGGTACGTGGCGAGGTGTCAGAGTGGGCCCCTGTGACAAGCGGGGTCCCACAGGGGTCAGTCCTAGGACCATTTGCTGTTTCTGGTATTTGTGAACGACATGACGGAAGGAATAAACTCGAGGTGTCCTGTTTGCAGATGCCCGTGAAGTTGATGAGAAGAGTTCATTCGATCGAAGGACCAGGCAGAACTACAAAGGGATCTGGACAGGCTGCAGACCTGGTCCAGCCCAAATTTGGGTCCTGGAGTTCAATCCCCCCAAGTGCAAAGTCATGAGGATTGGGGGAAAGGGTAAAGAAGGGCCGCAGACGGAGTACAGTCTAAGGGCCCAGAGACTACAAACATCACTCAAGGAAAAAGATCTTGGGGGTGAGTATAACACCAGGCACATCTCCTGAAGCGCACATCAACCAATAACCCGCCGCAGCATATGGGCCCTGGCAAACCTCAGAACAGCATTCCGACATCTTAATAAGGAGTCGTTCAGGACCCTGTACACCGGTACGTTAGGCCTATATTAGAGTACGCGGCCCAGTTTGGAACCCACACCTAGCCAAGCTGTAAAAAAATAAGAAAGGGGCAAAGGTTTGAAACAAGACTAGTCCCGGGTTTTAAGAGGAGTCCGGGGAGGGTTAAGGAAATCAACCTGACGACAGGAGGAAGGGAGATGGGGGGGACATGATAACACTTACAAAATATGAGGGAATTGACAAGGGGGACAAAGACAGGATGTTCCAGAACTGGAACAGCAACCGGGGACACATTTGGGAAACTAAAGACCGATGAATAAAAGGGGATGTTGGGAAGATTCTTAGCCACAGAGTATCGGGAAGTGGAATAGTTTGGGAAGCAATTTTGGGGAGGCAGGAT